ACACACACACACACACATACACACACACAAAATAGTTAGGATAGATATATAGCTACTTTCTCTTAGTTCATTGAGAAGAAAGGTTTGTACTAATATTGTTTAGACAAGATATCATGTCTGCATCTTATACTTTGAATAACTACTATGAAGACAACAATGTTGAAAAAAATTCAAAATAGAAAAGCAGCCTGCCAAGCTACAAAGCAATAAAAGTTTATCACACACACAAAAAAAGTTTATCACATCTTGGGATTTATTTTGTTTTGGTTTTTGTTCCACCACTGTGGTCCCTGACTATTTCAAGTTGATGACATTTATGTTGTTTATATTTTTAGTTGTTATTAATAATGGTGCTTAGACTACTTAAATTATTGTATAATCCAAAATCATTAAGATTGCTGTCATGATTTATCCTCAGGAGTCTTGCATTTAGATCTATGGATTATTTTTATAATGTGATATACAAATCCAAATTCATTTTTGTTTGTTTATACCCAGTTATTTTTTATAAGTTCTCATCACAGTGATGAAATACTTGAGAATAATAACAAATGGACACAGTTTATTTTGCTCATGCATTGAGAGGTATTTGGCTTAAGCTTGCTTGTCTCCATTGACCTGGGCTTGTGGTAAGGCAATGAGGAAGAACACGAGGGTACAGTGCAACAAAAACTGCTGTGATCAGGGAGGGAAGGAAGGAGGCCAACCGAGAGGAGTAAGAACATATGCTTTGAGATTTCTCCTTTTGCTTTCATTTCACTCAGGCCCCCCGCCCACAAATGGTACTACACACATTCAGGGAGGGTCTCCTCTATCAGTTTGCTGTACAAAATGCCAGTTATCTCTTGAAACACCCACACTAACACACCCAGACACTCTGAAGAATGTGCTTCATTAATCTCTTAGGTGTCTCTCAGTCCAGGCAAGCTAAATAGTCATGATTACCTTCCACAAGTTGTGTCAGTGGCATTTCAAAAGAACTTTTCTTTGTGATGAGGCAACACAGATTAAATTTTGTTTTGCAATTTTATTTTGAGGGTCACTTAAGTTTACTTAAGCTGTAGATAAACTCATTCTCTCAGCTCCTCCCTGGTAGCTAACCATAAACCCACTAAGAGAAAAACAAGGTCATAAAGTTAAGAACACACAGTTAAAACAAATTGGGACATAGGATCAATGTTAAACCACAATATCTCATGGACAGCAGATAGTCAATAGTGTATTCTTTTTTTTTTTTAATTTTATTTATTTATGTGTGTGTGTGTGTGTGTGTGGCCAGCTCAGCCCACCAGGGGGCGGGGCTGGCTGGCATGTGGTGCTGGGGGATTGAACCGCGGTCCCTGTGCTTTGCTAAGCTTGTTCTAAGTAGGTGCTTTAGACCACTGAGCCATCTCACCAGCCCCAATAGTGTATTCTTGTAAAATTCCTGAGAATGAGATAAAACGGTGAAGTGGTTGCTATGGAAACTTGAAATGTACACAGCCTTTAAGTAAAATCCAAACTGGTGCCACCATTTTGTTTTTCTGGTCTCAGTGTCAAGTTGTCAGTTGCTGGCCTCCACTAAAGCTTCTCTGTCTCAATGCTTTCAGTCTCTCACAAGTGCTTCTGTCACTGCTGCAACATCTTCTAGAGGCCATAGTGAGATAGCCTTATGAGGAATACCCTCATTTTAGAGGGTCCTGTGCCACCATGACTTGTTGATTGCACATTAAGTGGCATGGCGCTGCCCCACCTGGCATGACTGTAAGGCAGGATGCTGCAGCTGTGAAATGCAACAACCAAGCTCTGCTCTCTAAGTAAGATCTAAAATTGGATTTCTTATTAGCTTTGGGTTCAATTAGGGGCTTGTTTTCCTTTCCAGGGACCAACTGAGGGTCCTGCCCCATGCCTCAAGCACATTTGGAGGATTACCAAATATATACTCTGTTTGACCCAGAGGCACCCAAGAATGCCTGCAGTGTTAATATGGCTTTTGTTGCTTAGTTGGTTCCTGATATATGCTACAGAGTTTGGAAATGTTTACATTTCCAGTAAATGTAATGTTTACATTACCCAGACCAGTGTACCTATTACAAGGAAAAGGAACATTTTAAATTAACATGTCCAAAGCTGTTAGAGAAGGGAAAGAGTGTTTATGTGGAGTCAGAGGAAATTTCAGAATCATGGGGTCATGGGTCTCTGTCTCTCAGCCCCAGGGTACCCATGTTAACTGCTTATGTAGGAAAAGAAACCTGTTAGAATTTCGGTGGGTACTGGCATAGATTTATCAGTACTCACTCAGCTAATAGCTCATCTCGTAGGGCACAAAGTACATATTCAAGCGGCAACTACTCAATCTTGAACTTATTCTTTTTGTGTGCCATGATAGGGTCAGCTTCGGCAACAAGCAGTTAGCCATTGTCTGACTGTCTTTTCCCCTCCTGGGCTAAGACTTCCTTTGAAAGCTGCAGGCTTAAATTTCTTTCACTCCTCAGGAAACTTTTAACGAAGAGAGAAGAATCCTCCCTAGAGGCTCATGTTTTTACTGTTACTTTACCTACGCTAGAGGAATAGCACCTCCTAGATTCAAATGCTGGAGAGCAATCTGTCATCCCTCTTTCCCAAGATTTTTGAAGAAGATAGTCCCCATGCCCATGATTTAGTGACTCTTGTGCCATTACTGATAGTAGAATTGGTGGAGCATGCAAAGCCAGTTCACCTGATAGGACCCAAAGGCTCTGGAAACCAATAGAGAGATTAAGCTCCACATTCAGAGGCTGCTTGAGGCAGGTATACTAAGAACGTATCAGTCCCCCTAAAATATATCTTTCTTGCGAGTCCTTAAACCTGGGACGAATGAATAGCTCCTTGTTCAAGACTTACAAGCCGGGGCTGGTGAGATGGCTCAGTGGTCTAAAGCACCTACTTAAAACAAGCTCAGCAAAGCACAGGGACCACGGTTCAATTCCCCAGCACCACATGCCAGCCAGCCCCTCCCCCTGGTGGGCTGAGCTGGACACACACACACACACACACACACACACACACACATTAAAAAAATAATAATAAAAAAAATTAAAAAAAAAGAAGCTTTAAAAAAAAAAAAGACTTACAAGCCATCAGTGCTTTGCTTTTACCTTCACCCCCACTGTACCCAAACCCCATACTCTTCTCAGTTTGCTGAATAGTATACCCAGACCTGGCATACTGTGTTAGA